TCAGGTGCCACAAATGATTCAGATGGCTATTCAAACTGCCTTAGTACCTATACATAAGAATATGTAAGGCTATTGGGCAATTTTGAGAGTTTATAGAGAGAAGTTGGATAGGCTGAAAGCAAGGATTGATATAAATGAGCAAAGGCAAAGTGAGGGACAACTAGATGTGGAATATCTAGCCTTTTCCATTACTGAGGACTAATGTGGACTAGGTGAAGTCCACAAGTATCACTGGTTATTGGGCCAATCTATCTTTGATTGAGACAAAGAGGGTTGAGACAAATTTACCCTAGTCTACTCTGATTTGCTACAAAGCATGTGATGATGAAGATTCTCGATGACCTGAGTGTTGAGGATGTGGTGGATTCCCGTACTCTGGGTTACTTTCCTTTATCATTATCTAGAGCAACCTATGAACTAAGACTTTGAATTTCAAAGAATGTTTTGATGAATAAGATAGTTGATGAAGCTCAATAAATGCATTTTTAAGTCGGACTTGTACTAAAAAGAAAATTCATATGATACATTTGATGAGCTATAAGATATAAGGTATGTGATAGTAGAGCATACCATGGAGACTTGTTTGAGTAAGACTACTATGGTAGGGTCCAACTGGTCTAAAACGGCTGAGACATTTGACCCTGAGACTACTCGAGGAGCAGAGTCATGTATACATGCCCAAGTTAAAGTTGATTTAGTGATCTTGACATAGCCTCATCATTATCATTCCATAGGGGCCCTCTCACTGACTCTACTCTTATATTTCCTTTTTAAAATTGGGGACACTGCTTTTATTTCAGTTGAGGAGGGGGTGTGTTGATTTAATTTTGTAGTAATTTTGAAAAGTTTGAATATTTTATTTTTGTGGTGTTTAATTTGGATTGCTATGTTTGATGGAGTGTGTGGTGGTCTTTATTTTGTTTCTTAATTTGGTCATGTTTCTTTAGTTTTCTATTTTTGAGTGTGGTTGTTTAATTTCTAAGAGTTAGTTTGCTTCAATAAGGCTCATTTTGCCATAATGCTCAAAGTTGAAATGTGCTAGCAATAGAACAGTTTGACTCAAAGAGTACTCCTTTTGAGATTTTCGCATGGGTGGAGTGTAAATTTGATCAAATTTTGTTAAATGTACCACTTTTTCAAAAATGTTGCCCATTTTCCAAAGTTCGAACTGATTGAGATGAAATGGTTGGGAATTCTTCGTGTGAATATTTGCATCTCTTTTTGATAATTAGAGTACCTTCCTTGAATTTTGGCCAAGTCAAACCTAAAGAAATGCAACAAAAACAAACTTGAATATAAGTGAAGTATAATACAAGGCCAACTAGACCACAACTTATTACTGAACTAACGTCAGATGTCTGCAAGCCCTTTAAAATGAAAAACTACTAAACCGAGTCAAAAAAGGGCCCCCACATACCCATTAAAGATATAAAGCTAAAAACGCGTTAAACTCAATAACTCCGAAAAGATTGTATCGTACCCATCTTCAGCTGAACACGACCATACACATGAGATTCCTTGTCTACCTGATAATATGAAGGCATTAATGCAGCACCCCCAATAAAAGAGACGTTTGTACAAAATAATGTATCGAATATGTAAGGCGGTAGAATAACATAAACAACGTAACCAAAAGTAAAACCACACAATACAACCGTTATAATTTGAATAGAATCAACAACTCGCCGCAACAACACTACCAATGTAGTTCGTATTCCCTTGTTCTTGGCTCAAATCTCATAAATAACTAGTAGTACAACTATTACACAACCACCTACCCAAGCCCCCAGAAGCTCGGCATGTGTCAACCACAATCACATGATAATGAAAGTAATGAAAGACATCTGAACAAAATAACCTACACCTACAAACAATCTTACTTGCCCCTACCTCAAGTCACCAACCGTAGGGGGAGAGTCTTTTGGGAACATGGAAAAATGGAAGTTGATGAGGGTGCTCAGCTAGAGTTGGTGGTGGGGTCACTATAGAAACTACAACAAAAACAACATATTGTCGATAACTGGCAGCCAAATCTACTTAATTTTGTCCAATATTACATCCCCACTATACCAACATACCAAGCCCCAGAGATTTTGCACTCACTTGACCCAACAACTCAAGTATAATACACAATAATATGAAATGAAATGCAATGCAGTGTAGGGGAATACCCCAATCCATAACCTCAAAGTCATAAGCAATGTATATGTATGTGGTGTAGGAACACAACCCGACCCTAGCCTCAAGGGTATGAAGGGTAATTGTTGGTGATCAGGTTATGATTAGAAAATATTCGGGAAAAGAATCCTTCGAGTAAGTGATGATTGTTAGTTTCCCATTTTATGTTATATATGTTTGTCAATTACTTCGCTAGTATTGCATGCATAATGTATGATTAGGGAAAGAGGAAAAGGCATGATTTGAATTATTGAATGTTGTTCATCGTATGCAATGAATGTTGTTACTTGGTCTACTAATGTGATTCTATTCATTGTCATTGTGAATTGTGTTTGATGAGTGGATCGGGTGCCACGCCGATACACTAACAGTTTGTGTGTGGGTTCCATGAGAGAATCAATTTATTTCTTGTAATGTGGTTGTTACATGTTAGTCCATGAGTGGCTAGTATTTGTATTTAAATGATGGGATGGTTCTTGTGTAGATCGAGATTGCATGTTAAACGCTATATATGATCATTTGGGATCCTTGGGGTCTGGGTTAATGAAATGGTGTGATGAATCAGGTATGACTAGTTGTGATGTTTGTAATCATATGAGACATGCTTCATGGAAATGTTAAGTTTTGCTGAGGAATGTGAGTCCGGGATATTTATATTATAGTTGTATATATTTGTTCTACTAAATTGTGATTAGTTGTTCATAGTTTGTATAAGAAGAGCAGTGTTAAGGCAAGGTGTTAGCATGAGAATATATGAGAGAGTAACAGACTGGTAATAGAGTCGTAGTGGCTTGTCTTTTGAAATTCTTTAGGTGGTAGAAGGGGGTTAGGTTATGACCTGATGTGAGGTAGGATGGCCTATTTGGTGGAGTTGGAAGCAAAAGGAGATGGCTGATTTTAAATAGAGTGTATGGATTCCATGGTAATACTACTTGTAGTAAGAGTGGTGACTGAGTGGACCGGGTCCTAATTTTATCTTCAAGTTGCATGCTTATTTTGATTAATTACCCAATATCATGTGCTGAATTTGTGTGGCCGCATAATGCTTATCAGTATGTGCTTTTGTACTGATACTAATCTTGCTATGCCACTGGGCATAACCTCATTGCAGGGTCATTGTTGTTTCTTAGACTAAAGTGAAGATGGTCACCAACAACTTTTACTCTTTTTCCTTATGGTGGGAGATGTGTAGTAGTTTCTTACATAATTTGTACTCTCTTAGAAGCTTTTTTACCTGTTTAGACTATGTAACACCTCGAATTTTGAAAAGAAGGAAAAATGTAAAACTTCCATAGTTGGCAATTGTGTCTACGGTCCCCACCTACGGACCATAGGTGGAAATCGTAGTGGTGGGTTGAACAATTTTAAGAGTAAAGTTTTAGTACCCTTTTTACGGTTCACCAGGACGCTTCATTATCCCATATACGAATCATATGTAGGTCTCGTAGGTGAGTCCCACACTTGGTGAAAATTTGAAGGTCTAAGTTGGGAACGAGGATGACATGTACAGACCGTAGGAAGACCAACGTACCGTACATGGGATCCGTTGAAAATGGGTAAAATTTTAAGTCCCAGTACTTGGCCTACGGCTCACCAGGTTGGTTGGTAAGTGGACCTACAGACCGTAGGTCATGTCGGCAATAATTTTAAGGGGTTTTTTTTGGTCTTTTCCCTAATCATTTTAACTCAATACTACGTCGTTTTAATCCTAATCCCAGACCTTATATAAGTCCTTTGAGCCTAAAATCTAACTACTCTAAATCATTCTTCAAATTTCCCAAATCCCTCCTAGTTCTTCCCTAATATTTCTTGCTTGAAGAAGAAGTTGGTTTCAAGATCAAGTATCCAAACTCACCATGAATTGTGAGCTTTTGGCATCAAGGTATGATTGTATTCAATGGCGGATCCAGGATTTAGAGTCTGTGGGTTCCAAATAGACATATCGATTAAATTAATTTTATATTTGATTAAATTATTCGTATTTTCGATATATATCATAAATCAATCAATAAAATATAAATAATAAGATATTACAAATCCACACTCCACACTAAAAGCATGAAGTTAACAAATTTAAAACTTTCAATAATATTACTAATATTATAAATATTCATCATTCATTTGCAATTATCCTCGACGAGTTTTCATATTCTGAAAACGATCGATAATGACATCATTACTAACATTTATAAATACATCACGCTCTATGTAACACACTAGACAATCATTTAAATATTGATTACCAATACTATTCTGCACTTCATTTTTTATGTGCTTCATTGACGAAAATGCTCTCTATACAGTTGCCATAGCAATAGGTAAAATCTAAGTCGACTTTACAAGTAAATAAACAAGTGAATAAGTTTCCGCAAGATTTGCTTCAACCAATGCCTTAGCCAAATCACGAATTCCTTGCAAGTTAGAGAACTTGGGACTACCACTTCGCATATGAATAATGAAAATATCGAGTTGGTAGCTCAAATCTCAAATTTTTCCATCATCAAACTAACTTGGATAACACTTTGCTAAAGTCATGATTTTACCTTTGTCAAAATTAGAGAAAGAATTGACCAGATTCAAGCTACCCATCCAAAGAAGTAAATCACTACTCACTACATCAAAACGGTCATTAAGCTCTTGAAGTTGCACATCAATGACAACAAAAAAGACTTCAACACGCAAGTGGTGCACATAACTAACACCTGAAGACTTACGTTTTGACTTTCCGGGAAAATAAGACTCATCCAACTTGGGAATCAAGATATCATGCACATCACAAAATGAGGAAACATCATCCAACAAAGATTCCCATCCATTTTCCCTCATATCTTGCAATCTTTTCTTTGTAATATTAACTCCACAGTTGCCGTAGCAACAGGTAAAATCAAAGTCAACTTTACAAGTAAATAAACAAGTGAATAAGTCTCCGCGAGATTTGCTTCAACTAATGCCTCTGCCAAATCACGAATTCCTTGCAAGTTAGAGAACTTGGGACTACCACTTCGCATATGAATAATGAAAGTATCGAGTTGATAGCTCAAATCTCTAATTTTTCCATCATCAAACTCACTTGGATAACACTTTGCTAAAGTCATGATTTTACCTTTGTCAAAATTAGAGAAAGAATTGACCGGATTCAAGCTACCCATCCCAAGAAGCAAATTACTACTCACTACATCAAAACAATCATTAAGCTCTTGAAGTTGCACATCAATGACAACAAAAGAGACTTCAACATGCAAGTGATGCGCATAACTAACACCCGATGACTTAGGTTTTGACTTTCCGGGAAAAGAAGACTCATCCAACTTGGGAATCAAGATATCATGCACATCACAAAAATGAGGAAACATCATCCAACAAAGATTCCCATCCATTTTCCCGCATATCTTGCAATCTTTTCTTTGTAATATTAAGAAACTCCACGGCATTAACAATATCTTGATCTTTTTTTTGTAAAATCTTACTCAACTCATTTGACATTGCCAACACTTTCAACGTCAAGTGAAGCACAAAAATAAATTTAAATGTTTTAATCTTTGTCAAAAGATACTCCGATTGATTTCTATCACTTGATGTGGACCCTTCAAGTTCAATCACTTCAAGAACATGAACAATAGATGAGAAAATAACAATAAAGTTATCTAAAGTTTTGAAATGAGATCCCCAACGAGTATCACCTGGTCTTTGAATCCCACGTTCTTGATGTAATCTTTGGCCTTTTTGAACTTCACTGGATTCAAATAATTGCTCTAACTTTTTGGCATGGTGATCACGAAGTAAGTCTCTACGCTTGAAAGATCCTCCAACAACATTCAACACATTACTAACATGATCAAAAAAGTCTTCAACATCCAAATGTTTTTTGGCAATAGCCACTAGTGTTAGTTGCAATTGATGAGCAAAACAATGAATGTAATATGCCAATGGACTATCTTTCATAATCAAAGTTTTGAGCCCATTTATTTCTCCTTTTTTATTACTAGCCCCATCATAACTTTGTCCACGTATTTTGGATGGACTTAGTGAGTGAACGGAAAGCAAAGAATAAATCGCTTTCTTCAATGAACATGCCGATGTATCACTAACATGGACAAGACCGATAAATCGTTCAACTACTTCACCATTCTTATTAATAAAACGCAAAACAAGAGCCATTTGTTCTTTGTGAGAGATGTCTTTTGACTCATCAACTAATATACCAAAGTAATCTCCATTTAAGTCCCCAATTATTGCTTTCAATGTTTCTTTTGCACAAGCATTGGCAATATCTTTTTGAATCATAGGACAAGTCAAAGTATCATTTTGTGGGAAATTTTCTAATATCACTTTTCCCACATTCGGATGTTTGTCCCCATGCCATCACAAAAATCCTATAAAGAAGCCTTGATTAGCTGAAGATTCACTTTCATCGTGACCTCGAAAAGGTAATCCATATTGCAAAAGAAGTTTTGACACATCAATTGAGGCTTCCAAACGCATTCGATACTCATTTTTTAACTTTTGATGCTTATCAATAACAACTTGAATTGATTGATGATGATTTGACAAATCTAGCATCTTGTTGAAATATTTGGCATGAATACTATTAACATTACTAACATGTTTACAGAATCTTTCAAGTTCCCTATTCCAACTCCTAAAACCCATTTTTGTGTAAAACTCACTCGTACTTCGATGGAAAAAGTCATCCTTGAATAAATAACAACATAGACAATAGACAGAATCTTTCTCCACACTATACTCCAACCATTTAGAATATGGACCTTCAAACCAAATTTTACAAAATTGACGCATTGTTTTTCGAATTTCAGTTGGAGGATATGAATCCATTTTAGGTTGACAAGGCCCTTTTTGAATATAATGTTTCCTCACTTCATCCTTTATTCGAGGGTTATAGTGAGCAATTGGTACTCTTTTTCCTGGATCGGATTCAAGTGAATCTAAATTAAGGTCATCTATAAGATGAGAATGATTGACATTCATGCTAGAACTTGCTTGAGAATGATTAAATTTCGCAAGAAACTTCTCCATCTCAATTCACAAAACTAGAACACTTTCCTACAAAAATTAAAATTCAATTCAACTCACAATTAATTCAAATTTAATAGGGTAAGTCATAGTTAATTCCAATTAACATGGTTCATATCACACAATTTTTAAGCAATAATGTCTTACAATGTTCATTAGAAATTTAGAATATCAAAGTAAAATAAAAAATCTTGTCTAATATGAAATCAATCATCACTCATTAAAACTTAAAAGAACTCAAGAAATAGAAATAAAAAAATCTTACAAAAATAGAATTACAAACTTACAATCTATAAAAGGTTGTGGATGGATGGAGAAAAGTGAAAACAATAGCAACCAAATGAGGCTTAGCCGCTGGACGGAATGCTAAGACGGGTGGCAGGAGTCAACAACAAGTGATTTGGGTTCGGAATGGGGCAATGAAAATTTTGGAGAAGTTGAAACTTGGAGGAAGAAGGGTTTGGAAATAGTTGAAGAGAAAGAGAACACTTTTATTTGTATTTAATCAAATAAAAAAAAGTCAAAGGAGTAATAATGTAATTAATTTAATTTAAGTCAATAACAATTATAAATAATAAAATAACGTGCCAACTGTTTTTCCTTAAAAAAATGTGCTTGGAGCCTCTTTTTTTCCTCTTAAATGAACGTGTGCAGCAATTTCCTTTTTCTTAAAAAATATCTGCAGCAAATTTCTCAAAAAAATAGGTACAAATGGGATTCAAACCCGCAACATCAGCCTTCTAAAGTTGCCCTCCTACCGTGGCACCACAAGCCAACTTTGTTCTCTGGGTGGCACACTTTATATTTATGTAAATATTATATATATATACCTATGTATATATAGAGTTTTCGTCCAAGTTCGGAGGTGGCGTGGCGCCCCCAAACCCCTCAATAGATCCGCCCCTGATTGTATTCACCTATGGGTCCTTTCCCCCATAGGGTTCCTAAATTCTCCAATTTTACAAGTTAGAATCTCCAATTGAAATTAGGGTTTTATTCAATCTCATGGGTTCTTTTCAATTATGATCTAATTGATTGTTTTATGTATTTTTATGCATGAATAGAGATAATTTCATGTTTCTAAGTTGAATTCACTTGATCCCATGCATGATCCATGATTCCTAGTGTTGACACCCAATTTTGGTTCTCCACATTTATTTAACTAAAGTAATAATAATAATAATAATAATAATAATATGTATATATATATATATATATGTATGTATGTCATGAAATTTTTGTAGGAATACGAAAAGATTTTTTAATTATTTATTTTATTTCATAAATATTATTTCTTATAAAAATTAAATATATCATAAAAATATTACTACTTACTTTCTCATTTTTATTTTTATTTTCTTACGTCAAATAAATATTGTTCTTAAGGGTTAACTCAATTTTTCTAATTAAATATAATTTCTATTATTGCGATAAATATTTTTCGTACATTTTTAAAATTAGGAGGCTTAATTAATTAATGAGTTAGTAATTTATATTAATCTTATTTTTAGAATGACTAATTTTATCAAATAAGCTAGTCTTACAAAATAATTGTTTTTTTAATTCAATAAATTATGGCTATTTAATAAAGAAGATATTATAATTTTAATAGATGTAATTTGAGCAAAACTTGGCAATCCAAGTCTTTTTAATTCAGCCAATCCGCATGCGCCACGTAGGAAACACATGGATTGTGTTTTCTTCAGCTATAATCTTGACCATCCAATTTAATCTAAGGGCTCTAATTAATCCATCCTTTTACTATTATATATATAATTATTTTTAAACCGTCCATTTTTACTCACCGTCCGATCAAACGATCGGATGGCCCAAATTAATTAAGACTTTTAGACCCCTACCGCCGCCCTATACTTTTCTTTTTTCCAAAAATCACGTTCACCCCTCCCCCTTCATCTTCTCCAAAGATCACCTTCATGTTCCTCCTTTTTTCCAGAAATCAGGCTTCTTCCTCAGACCCCTACGCTAGCTACGTCTTCTCCACAAACGCCTCAGGCTCCTCTCCCATCACCACCCATTGCCGCCTCACGTGCTCTCCCATCTCCTCCATCAGAGAAACGACTCTGGGCCACCGGAAAAATGCCCCATCAATCACATACCCTCTCAAATCGACCTGAAAAGGTCGATCCTTGAGAGATTTTGTCGTCCCCTTCATGATTTCTTTTTTGTTTCCTCTGAGATTTGCGTTTCCAAGAATTCAAATTTTGAATTCTTGGAGCCCAAGTTGGATATAAAAGGGGACACATTTGGTTCTCATAAGGATCATCCAGCAACGATTGAAAAAAATCCCAACAATCGATCAAAAAGAGCAAAAATCACAACCACTTCAAGTGTTTTTTTAGAGTTCAAAATTCTCTTCTTGTCCCTCTGTTTTCTGTTTTGAATTCGAGTTTTGAGAAAGTTCGGAGTCAAAATCTCTTGACGTCAAAGCCTTAGTTTGCTGCTCTACATAAGGTCAGTAATCACCCTCGTCTTACATTTTGTTTTCAGTTTCTGGAAATAAGAATATAGTTTTGTGTCGTTATCTCAATTTTGCCCATCTAAATTCGTTCAGTTATAAAAAAATGTTAGTAAATATTAGTGTCAATGAGAGGGACTGTTGATTTACCAATCTGATGATGTGTGTGTTTTTATTTCTCTAAATGTAAATACTGCCTCTTAGATGTATCGTGTACACATATAAACTAATTTCAGGCACTAAACTTAAGTCGAATCGCTATTTTTTTCATCTATATAATAGAAATCGGTTCACTATTCCTGTTTGAAATTTTTACATGTTCACGTAACTAAGAGTGTAATGTTATGAGATTAAAGGTCGAGTTGAGGAGTTTGCTCTCTGTTTGAACTTAACTACCACGGTTACGATTTGGTTAAATCAGTCCCATGTGAATAAAAAATGATATTGTCTGCTTTCTTGTCCTAAGATTTGCACTGTAACTGGTTGTCTCTAAACCATATAAATATGTATCTGCTTGTGTTGTTAATGAAAATTCGAGTTGAAATCGGCTTAGAAGATATCACACTTGCCTATGTTACTGATTCTGAATTTTACATATGAATTTCGTGGAATGTTTAGCTAGCTTGATTTGTGTTGCTCTCTGCTGCTAAGTGATATCCAAGTTTAGGCCAAGGTGTTGCACCTTAGATATCTCATGAGTTATTTTGTTGTTCCGCAAGTCAGATTCCATTTAAAGTTTGAGGAGTCTCAATTCTAAATTTTGTTTACTCCTTCTAGTACAACCAAGCTTTGTCTAGATGATCATTTCTAGCGCTTAAAATCAGTCCTTCACCTGCTACTGTTTCAACTTTTCAATATGGAATCGATTTTCTCTCTTATGTTGGTGTTCTTATGCATGGTAGTGTGGAAGTACTCAAATTAGAATAGATTTTTATATATTGGATTAGACTACTGCTTTACTCTCAAGAGTGTCGATACATAATAAATCTGTTTTTTTTTGTTTATTAGAACTCCATTTTATTTGCTAAAATAGCTTAAGTTATTTATAGTATTTAAGCATATTCGATACTTTAGATGTTTCTGTCAAGTTCTTGTAATCTGGCCTAGACTTTAAGTCTGTTAAAGCTCTTTAGTTAAGAGACCAACATGAAGTCCTCTCCTTTCCGTTTCAGTTGTCGTTAATATGCAATACGTGAAAATCTTTCCACTCTATTATGACTACCTAAGAATAATATAGGGCTATCAGGTTGTAATGTAAGTCACTAGGCATCATCAAAATTCGTATGAGTTAACCAAACTTCTCATCTCTATTGTATAATCAAACATTGATCTCTCATGTTTCATCTTTTCTGGGAATACTTTGTTGCTCCTGCTATATAGTGTTGTTAGTTACGTCATGTTAAATGTTGGTATCCCTTCTGAATTTCTGTTTTATGATTGTTTCGGGGTGTTTAACTGAGTAGATTTGTCCCGACCCAAAATCACAAGTCGTGATGACACCTATATTCCCAACCGATAGGTTGGCCAATCCAATAAGTTAACCAATTCCACTTAAAGTATGGAAAAGTAAGTAACAAGTGAATATCCTACATACTAAGTCTTTTAAATAAAATGTGGAAAACTGAAATACTACCCCAAGATTTTAGTGTCATAAGTACAAAAGCTTCTAAAAGTCAATACAAGTATCTAATTATATAACAAGTCTAAACATAAGAAATATCCTATCAGAATACCAAAACAACCTAATAAATAGAAATAGATGAAGGTATGAGCCGCA